CCCTCTCTAAAATATCAATAGAAATAAATTATTGGATGAGGATTTAAAAATAAAAAGAGCGGGAGGCAAAGGTGGAGGTGGGAAGGCCCCGACCAAAAGAACAAAAAGATTTATTTTGTTATAGTAATTTTTGAAATATTTTTAAAATATAAAAAAGTATAAAGAGAAGTAACTCTCAGGATCAGTATCTTTTTTAAAGTTAAAAAATGGGGAAGTCATCTGGGAAGGACAGGGGCTCAGGGAGAGGGGATTTTTGCCACTGACTGTGTCACACTTGCTATCTGGCCCCTGCAGGGCTCTGCCCCTTCCTGGGCATCCATTTATTCCCTGAAAATGAGCACACTGGTCTAGATCTATGGCTTCCAAATTTCTCTCAACTACAAAATCCTCTCTTCAGATGAAATCTTCTGTTAATGCCCAACATATAATACAAACGAACGGCTGCGACGATGCCGGAGAACATGCCACTGCACACACTACACCATCTCTATGGCTCTTCTAAGTGACTCTGGGTCACAAAATTGTGAATATCCTTAGTGTGACAGTTTTATGAGCAAACCAAGTGATAAATATCAAGGCTTCATCGTCCCTAAACTATGCGGCGCTTTACTATGCTCTGGATGTCAGAAGTCCGAATAGCAGCAGTGGTGTCCCAGCAGTGGGCAGTTCTTATCTTTCTACCTGTAATGAGCTTTCTAGAATAATCATAATCATGTATGAAATTAACCAACAAAAGATCACACCTCCAAGACTGACCACCTACTTATCCACCTATCAGTCATTTAGGTGTATATTTATTAAGAGCATTGCATGTGTTTCCTTTCTTATAGATTTCCATTTCTTGTTCCCCTAAGTGAAGTGTTTTCTTCTGGGGTTTTCACATTTTCAGAGTTGATCTGTCTGTGGCTCTGAATGAGAATGACCAAGCCACCTGAACTCTACCTATCTGGCCCCTAAACAAGACAATAAAAAATTTGGGGGGTGGGGATGGGGCAGTGAGTCCTCTCCCCGTTTCCCAGCAGGAGGCACAGCACGGAGGGGGTGGTTTGAGTTCTGTGCAGAGGCCACGGGTCGAGGGGCCTGGGGGAAAGGCGTTGCCCCTTGCCTCTTACCGATGTGCCTCCGCGTGAGCTCCACGGCCGCGTTCCTGTTGACGTTGGAGAGCAGCCCGAGGCAGAAGCGCTCCGAGTTGGAGGGGTCAGTGAAGCCATCCACTGTCATGGATGGCTGCGAGGCGTGGAATGTCTCCCCGACGCGCTGGTTCAGCTCATAGTAGGAGATGGAGCACCAGAAGGCTGGCTCGCAGTAGGTGACGGGCTGCAGGTCTAGGAGACAGGCCAGGTGCTGGTCAGTGGGGCGCCCAGGCCCTTGCTCCTCCATGGATGCTCCAGAAGACTGTTTCTCTACTTCTCAGAGGGTATCATAATCCCTGCCCTCATGCCTTTTGTTGTCTAAAACTTGCAGGATCCAGTGGGACACAATGCTCAGGTGTTTGGAGAAGTATTCCCCCAGCCCTGCCACACTTCATTTAGTTTTAGCTCACAAACGCCCTACCCCGCCTGGCCTGGCCTTGGGTTGAAGCAGTTTTCAAGGAGGTGCTGGGCCAAACCCAAAGAGGGCTAGGCACCGACCAGCACTGGGGCAAACCCACTGGCCAGGCTCAGCGCGCTCACTGTGGTAGGGCCAAGCCATCTACGCGGTTACTTCCCAGCCTCTCTTCCAAGGTCCCCTAAGTAACCCATGCTGATCTCTGCCTCCAAAAGGGCTTTCTGCCTTGGCTGTGCCTGGTCTTGGGCCAACGCCTAGCCTGTCAAGCAGCAGCGTCCAAGCCTTTACAATGACGCAGCCCAGGGGGCTCTGTGCTGTGCTCAGTGTTGGCGACCACACAGGCACCAGGCTGTCTGCAGAGTGGACTGGGTCCACCTCTCTCATTCCAGAGACTATGCTCTGGATATATCCAGATGCCATCTGTGGGAGTGGCTAAGACACAAACTCGCCTAAAAGAAATTCTGTGTCTGTCTTAGTTATCAGTCTGTAGTCTCAATTAAAGGGCTTCCCAGAACAAAACTGCCATCTTGTGAGGGGTTGGTTCTCTTTCTTAGAAGAGTCAGGAACCCCTGAAATAGAGGTTTCCCCTCATGTGATTGCACATGACTCCCTAGCCTTCCTGTCACCTCCATCCATTACAGGCTCCCCAGCGGCCCCTGTCCTCCTCCTGCCCACCTGGCATCACCTCTCACCTCAGCGGGTCTGTCCTCTTAGCCCTGGGCCGCATGCGTCACTCCTCACTTACATCAGTGCCCCAGACCAGCCTCTCCCAGCCGCCTCTGCACTGCACTGTCCCACCTGGCTGGGGGCACCGAGTTCCGCCACATCCCGCTCCCTGCCTACCTGGATCCCACCCACAGGCTGGAGAATCAGGGGGTCCCCTGCTCATTCTCACCCTTCCATCCAGACCTCCAGCCTGGATCACTCAGTCTGGCTCTGACACATATTTGGAGTCGCATGGTGACTTAAGTGTGCCATTATGGGAGCTGGTGAGGGACAGGAAGGGCTTGCCAGGCCAAGTCTCAGCCCTGGCCTGAGACCCCTGCTTCCTGCCTGCCAGGCAACTTCCTGGGGCAAGAACCCACAGGGGCCTCTGCTCACCGGATCTTTGAAAGTGTGTAAAGCCCAAGAAGGAAAAATCAGAAGCTGTTCTGAGAGAGGCCTGGGTGCCCCTGCAGGGCAAAGTGGCCCTAATCTCCTTCTAGGGTCTATGACCATGATCCCTTCTAAGGGCAAGGCTGCCACCACGCATGGGAAGCACTGCAGAGCAGAAACTCACATCCATCCTGGCACTCAACACACACCCAGAAAGTGTCATCTGGAGAGTCAGGACACCCAGATCAAGTTTCTCAACCGTGGCACTAGTGACACTTTGGGCTGGACACTTCTTTGTTTGGGGGGAGGGGGATTCTGTATGTTACAGGATGGTCAGCAGCATCCCTGGCCTGTACCCATGAGATGCCAGTAGCACCCACCCATCTCATCCTCCCAAGCTGTGACAAAAAGAAATGTCCCCAGACATTGCAAGAGGTCTTCTGGGGGACAAACAGCCCCTGGTCAAAGACTATTGCCCTAGATGTTAAGCAGGTCATGGAGCACAAACTGTAAAGCCAGGTGGGCCAGAGTTCACTCTGCTCTGGCCAGGACTAGCTGTGGGACTGAGCAAACCAGTTAAACCCTCAGTTTCAGCTTCCACGTCTCCTGACCCCAACAACCTGAGGGGAGAATCTTTTCCGCTACCAGGCGCTGTTTGTAAAGGGACTGAGATAACTCCTATGAGGTACAGAGCATGCACCAAACACTCAAGAAATGGTGTGAACAACAATTATAGTAACTTTGATTATTTGAACTTGAGAACATCCTGTTCCTGTCCTGACCTCCATCATAAGAGGGACAAAGTGTCCTTGCCCCTTTCCTCTCTTCCCAGAAAGAGAGGGGAGGGAAGGAAGACAGGAGATCTAAGCAGCTCAGTGGTATGTGAGGTGATGGGGCAGGAGTGACTGTGGCCTGTGGCTTGTGCCCTGAGGTTGAGCTGAGCCATGTCGGCCACGTCCGGCTCAGGCTTTGCTGGATGCTTCAACATTCCAATGAGATAAGCTATATTCTAAACAATGTGGTCACTAAAATGTGAGCTGTGTTGCTTTGGAAACCTTAAAAAATAAATAAATCCAAGTGCAATTCAAGTATTCAAAGTGGTCGGGCAACGTGTCAGGGCCAGAGGTACCGGGGAAGGGCTATGGGCCACCACTGTACCACAGGTGGGCTCTGCTGATCTTGCTGTGTGACCGTGCTGATGTGACCTCCCTCTCTGGCCTCCGTTTCCTGGTCTGAAGAGTATCTGCAGAGTACTAGAGGACATCCGAAGCAGAACTCCTAGGTCACTGTGCTTCTGGTATGAGTAGGCCTGAAGGTGCAGCTGTGGCTGACCTGGGCTGGCCCTGGTTTCCCCAGCAAAGTGCAGAACAGATCCTCTCCCCAAATTATAAATCCTTGTCCAGTACCCTCTGCACTTAGTCCAGGCAGAAGACAGACAGCTACGTCCCCAGGAACACTGGCACAGCCCACCTACCAACAGCCGTGAGACCACCCGTCGCGTCACATGGTTCTGGAACCTCGCTCTGGAGAAGTGTGGGTTTAACATGCCTTAGAATCAGAGAGGGGCTTAGGGACCTAGCCCAAGAGGCCCTCCCAAGCAGATCTGAGCCCTTATCCAAACGTCTCTGCAACTTGCAGACACACACTGGACAGTGCTGTGGAAAATGCTGGACGCAGGAGCCTGACACATAATTAAGAAGATGCTAGTTTGAAGGAGTAGCGCAGTCAGGCCAAGATGGGCTGGAAGCTGCCATTTCAGAGAGGGCTGTTTGGACCAGTGGACCTCAGGTCCGAACTTGAGCAGCACCCCCAGCTGCACATTTGTTATTCTCTGCAAACAATTAAAAGCCAGTCCTTCCTTCCACCTCTCTCCCTCCCATCACCCCTCAGCTGTTTCCTCAAGGCACTTCTGCAAGAGGAGCTGCAGACTTAAAAGTAAGATCACCACCTCTGAGTTCTGCCTTGAATGGCACTTCATTTCTAAACTTCACATACGCCCTCATTTCTTTCCCACCACAGGACTTATCCACATCCTGGTGAAGTACAAGAGAAACAAAAAGTCAGGACCCTGGAAAATAGAAGGCTATACATGAGATTACAGCTACTGCAAGAACCCTCAACTTGGCTCTGAGCTTCCTAGCGGACAAGACAAAAAGGGAGCATAATATGCTATAATTCTCTGGTTGGTGGACAGAATTCTTACTAGTTCTGCAGAGGAAACAAAGCTTGTCTCAGCACTAAATCTTAAAAGAAGTCTGTCAGGTGGTAACCCCTCCCCTACACCAATCAAGTCAGCCAGCCCTGGTTTCGAGAGTTTCCCAAGAAATGCAGAAATGATTTGACATAAGGTTGCATCTTTAAAAGAACCTGAAGACATGCCATTCAAAGGCTCCGACTCTACAGGAATAAGGTAACTTGCCCCAATGGAGAATGGTTGTGCTTCTCCAGGCCAAGGGCTTGGCACACCTGGGATGGTGGATAATGGTGTGAGCCCAAGGCCTTCCCTTCAAACAGCCCTGCTCCCAGCCAGACTGCTGAGTCTGTGCTAATCTCTGTTCCTGGAGCAGAGGTGTTAAAGACACAGGAACCTCCAGCTCCAGCCGTTCTCGGCCCCCTGCCCCCACCGGGGCGGTGTCGGCCAGACTTCTCGAGTGGCATGGGGCACTTAATTCATGACTGGCCCCCTGCCAGCCTTACGCATTGGCTGGCTTCAGTTTTGAGCCCGATTCCAAGCTGGCATTGACTTTCTGTTTTGTTTAAGGAAAAGAAAACAGAATAAAACCCAGAAGGCAACACTTGGATTAAGGGATGCCTATTAAAAACATGTGCAAGAAATCCAAATCCGGTAAAGGAAGGGGGAGGCCAGGGGGGAAATTAACTTTCTACTATAAACCGAAAACGGGGTGGGCAGAGGCCAGGAGCACGACGCTCGCTGCAAGGCTAAAGGGCAAACCTGAGCGGCGGGCTCCCTCCGGGCCTCCTCACTGTGGAAGCAGCTCTACCCCAGGCCAGGAGGCTCCAGTTCCAGCCCCACGTGTCTTCACGCTGCCATCTCTCAGTCCTGCCGTTCTCTCTGCCTGGGCTGCCCATCCCCAACCGTTAAGGCCCAGCTCACGTGGCTATGAAGCCCTGTCTGACCCCTCGAGGAAGGGTGGCCCCTTATGTCTGAGCCACCTCTGTCCGTTAGTTTCTACGGACCCAGGCCCGCTGTGTCATCCAGGACGCCAATTCCAACCTATCTCACTAAAGATGTGGGCAACACACCAAAGTGCACACAAAAGAAACCCCACGCACTTTCAGCCTGGGACCAGTTTACTGAGACCGAGGTCAATGGCAAAGTCTCAGAGCCGGACACTCAGGAATGTGAGGGTACCGAGCGGCAGCTGACTTCCTGTCATTAAGACACCTTTGGGTTCCCAAGTTTACGGAAGATCAGATCCTGAGAGGAGGCCTTAGAAAAAGCCTGTGCAGCAGCTTGAAGACAACTGGAACTGGGCCCTTGTCCTCTGTCAGGGGCCAGGGGGTCTTCCTGTTGCCCTGCCACCGGGCCCCTCTCTCCTGGCAGGAGAGGAAGCACCCCCTGCCCCAGGCTCTCTGAGAAACCATCGCCTCCTTAAACTCCAGCTCAGTGGCTGCTCCAGGGCACGCCCTGGTACCTTGTGTCCCTCGGTCAAGGCCCATCCCGAAATGTCTCACTTAAAAGCAGAGAATAACTTACTCACCAGCAGGATCCAGCTCGTTACCTTTTTCCTTTCTCCCCACCTCCCTCTTTCCCCTCCATCTGCCCCAGTCCTTCGGACTTAGATGCTTAGGAAATTCCAGGTGACTCACCCAGCACAGCGTAATAACAGGAACACCACCTGCTCACACCCCTTCCCTGAACAGCAAAGCCCTGGGGTCTCCCGCAGCTCTGGGAGGAGGCTGCGCTGGCTCTCAACCACACACTGGGGCTCCCGCGAGTCACCCAAGGCGACTTTACTGGGGCAGAAGGCCCGAGCCTTTGCCCAGAGTGGGGAGGAAATGACAAAGAGTCAGGTGCTTTATTCTTTTTGTGTAATAATTTCTTTACAAGAAGTAATCAGATGCCTGAGATGTCGCCATCTTTCTGTAGGAAGGACTCGCTGTGTCCTGTCAGCACCCTACTGTTTGGGACATACCGGGCCTGGGGTACTGGCCAGAAAGAAGGGATCCAGAGGCTGCTGCTGCAGGCTCCCTCCCACCCTCACCCTTTATTTGCCCTTCAGCCCATAGCTGACCAACTTCAGCCCTCATCTCTCCCCACACCTGCTCTCGAAAGGATGCCCTTGAACTCCTGAAGTCAAATTCTAGGCCTCTTCTAACACCTCATTTTGCATCTCTGCAGGGCCTCCCTAGCACCTCCCTCCCCTCCGACTGCTGTAGCCCCATCCTTCACCTGACCCTCAGCCTCTTCTTCAACCCCCTCCTTCTCTCAAGGGGCCCCCCATTGGTCTGTCTCTGACTCTTTCTTTCATGAACTGGGTCTGCCTCTCTGCTGAGTTCAACCACTCCTAAGACTTCAGCCGAACCGTAGTCAGTATTTCCAAAGTGAGATCTCTGGATGGTCAGTGGGATTATAGGACAACAGTGATGGAACAGTGGTCAGATCCGTGGGAGAAATGCTGATCAGACAGGCCTCCTTTCTGCAGGACTTCTCAGAGGCTTTACTCTGCCAGTGCCTTGGGGGCCTCATGAAAGGGGACAGCACAGGCTTTCCAAACTTACTTGATGACAAAATCCTGTCTCTCTGACCCCACTTTGGGAAAGGCTGTCACCTACCTCCAGCATCGACCTCTCTCCGAACTGTCCAGCTGCTTCCTGGACACAGGAAGCAAAGGCAACTCACCGTCACCTTCCAGCCCAAACCCATCCCATCTCCTGGGTGTCCTGCCTCGGTTAAGAAGCTTTGCCAGCTAAAGCTGGTCAGTAAATCCTTCTGATTCATGACTCTCTCTCAAATGTCCTCTCCTAGCCCCACTGTCATTTTTCTAAAGCATTCACCTCAGCCTCTTCTGTGCAACAGCTTCCTAAGTGGGTTTTTCTTTTTTCTTTCTGGGTTTTATTATTATTATTATTATTTGGCATCCAGTAATCTTCCCTAGAATGTAAATTCCACACAGTGGCCAGATTAATCTTTATGAAGTTGCCATCAGGTAACCACACCTCCACCACCAAAGCCCACCAATGACTTGATTCTGCAGGTCGGACGGGGCTAACTAAGTACAGCATCCAGGGATCGACTCTCAGGGCCCCATGAGCCCTCTCAGCCTCGTCCCTCCACTGCGCCTCTCGACATGCCAACCAACCACAACACCAGCTTTCCTCAGAGCTCAACCTGCCCCCTCACGCCATTCCCTCCGTTTGCAATGTCCTTTCCTCCTTCTCTCCTCACGGTTTCCTACTTGTCTGTCCTTCAGGGTGCAGCTCACACATGTCGCCACACCTCTGAGCTCTTCCCATCCCATCCGGCACCTTCCTCCTTGTTGCATCCAGTTCCTCCCCGCTCTGTGCTTGATCCCTTGGCATCTGGCACAATGCATCACTGGTGGACATGGACCCCTCCAGCCACTCCACCAGACCTTGAACCCTAAGTGTCATTCCCAGTTCTAGAGCCCCAGGGTCAGTACATACTGGGACTCGGCCCATGTTGCCTAAATGAGTTAATACATAGGAGACGCTGGCAAGCCTGGCCCCGCTGGAACACCACCGTTACCTCCTCTGCCCCCTCAGGGTGCTCCATCTGCACTTACTTCTTGTTTTATACTTATGTAGGGTCCTGCCTCATTTATCCCAACAAGGCCACAAGCACCTTGGTGGCAGGGTCTGTGAGTCCCCTTCTGATCCCCCCGACCTGGACTGGCACACAGCCACTAGGCAGGAAGTGCCTGGGGAATGAGTGACTGAGGAGGAGACAGGTAGGTAGGCAGGGTTCGTACGTAGGGACCACATGGGACATAATCCTCAACCTGACTTCTGTCCCAAACTGTAAGTTAATTAATGCCCTTCTTGAGCACTGTTTTTCTGAGTAAGGCGGTGGGCAAGGGAAGCTGGTCTGCATGACCCAGCAAGGCAGTGCCCTGCTGCAGAAGGGGGCTCATACTTCGGATCCTGAAGGCCTGAGCTCAGAGCCAGCTTCTCCGCTTACTAGCTATGTGACCTGGGACAAGTTAGTCAAGCAGCCTGCCCCTTGCTTTCCTAATATGAGAAATGGAGAGTTACACCATCACCTTATACAGGTGTCACGAAGACTGGTAGGAAACACTGAACAACATCCAGGACACAGCAAATTCTCAAAAAATGTTTGCCACCGTCATCACTGTCATTTCCTCCCCTTCCAGCTATACTGCCAAGAGTCTATGAAGTTTTATGGGTGGAATGAAGCCAACAGTTTTAAATGGGTGAAGGTGGGGGTGCGAGGGCTCATCAAACAGAGGAAGTAAGGCCTGTCAGCATCCATGTCTCACCATGAGTCCTAACCCTGACTCGTCCACTGACTCGTCCCCCCATTCAGATCTTCCCAGCAGAGTGGCACCCACTCTTTGCCTGCCCAGCTCGGGGGCTGTTGCTACCTTTGGAAGAAATGACCTAAGAATCCTCAACCCTCAGACAAGGGGCCTGAGGTATGGGGCAGTGGGGAGGGAGAAATCTGTGAATAGGGCATCTGCCTTGGGTCCAAATTCAAGAACCATCCTGCGGTCCTAGTCCACACAATGCAAATAGAAATTCACAGCAGGCTAACCCCCTGGGCCACTGTGAGTCTGAATCCTGAGTCAGGAAGCGGGTTTCAAAGGTGAGCCTGCTCCAAACTCTGTGGAGAGAAAGTGCTGCCGTGGCCACGGTGGGGTAAAATTAAATCCAAACCAGTCAACCACTAAGGCCAAAGCCCAGAGTCAGGTTCACAATCATGGCCTTTAATTTCTCAAGTGTTAACATGGCTTCTAGCCTTCAAAGTTTGTTTTTAATAATTCAATCAGTCCTCTCACATAGAATTTGACCTTCCCTCTGTAAAGCCCAACACCCACAGTGATATTATTTTACCAAGATGTTAAGACTGATCTCTCAAAGTCACACTTCCCACTGCCCACTTGTCAGCCTACATTACAGGGTTTTCAGGCATCTCCCAGTGTTCCAAAGGATGACTTTCTTCATCTGATGCTATCAGTCAAGGACTGGAAACAACTGGAAACAAAAGACAGGCCAATCCCCTCTGATTCACCAAGCTTGGATATTAACTATTTCTTTTCCTGAGCCACACATTAAACCCCAGCAATAAAAGCCAAAACAAAATCAAACTCACATTTTTCTAAAACTACCAGACCAGTACATAAAACAGTTCCCTCAATAAAAATGGAACGGATGTTTCATTTGCTTTGAGCACTTTAGCAGGCCCCACACTGGAGCAGAAAAGCAAATCTCAGAAAAACGGACCCAGAAGCCCAATGGCTGAGGGAAAGTATGGAAATGATGGTCCAGCTGCTCCAAAATACCACGAGCTGATGCAGAATGATAAATGAGGCATCAAAGTATGGAAATGTGTTTATCAAGAACCACACACAGGAGAAAAACCGAAAACATGGATATGCGCTGTGATCTCAATGGCCAGGCACAAATATCTATGCTTGATCCACAAACATCAGAAGGACTGCGATAAAACAAAAACAGTGGATTTGGGTGAAGAGATTGTGGGCAATTTTGCTTTTTTATCATGTTCTTTATATGTGGCTGTTTTAAATAAAAACTACATCATTGTAAGATGAAACGCTCAGATAAAATCCGAATAAGTGCATCTGAAACAAGTCTATGAAAGTCTGGGGCTGGAGTCCGCTGCCCAAGGCTTTGCATCCAGCCACACACACGCGCGCACACACGCACGCACACATGCTTGGCTGACCATGGACTCTTGGCTCCTAAGCACAAGGTTTGGGAAATTTTCACTCACGTCTACGCGCCACCAAGGAGAAACACGAATCTGGCATACCTGACACCACTGTTCTCAGACTGCCTGTTAGGTGGGTGACCCCAGAATCCCTGTAACCTGAAACCTGATGGGCTGAGCTGGTCCATGGTGGGGGGTTGGGGTGGAGCCTCACCTTCTGAACCCCTCCCCACATGGGCCACCTGCCGGGGCTACAGCTACAGGGGCAACGATCATACAAAGGAGCAGACACTTACCCAAGTTACTGTGTGCTGGGGACATCGGATTCGGGGATAGGTTTGGAGAACCTGCGAGGTAAGACAGGTGTGAGATTTCATAAAAGACTCTTGGCTGTAGAACCTAATTCCTGACATCAAGGTGGGGCAGCCCAACACAGCACAAAGAAACCCTGGGCTGCACCTCCAAGGCCCAGGAGAAGGCTTAGCGCCATATCCTGCTCATACCTGCTCTCCATGGCCCCAGGTGACCTAACCTGTGGAACATACGGATGAGCAGATGACCTTGAGTTCTCTGCCATGACTGACGGTTGGATGCTCTTCACAGGGGTGCCGAGTTCCCAAACTAGGAAACCAACCCTTCATCACACCCACCTGCCCTGTTAACTATGTCCCCAAGAAAATAAGAGGGGCAGGGAAAGCCCCCTCCCCAGCTGCTCAAAGACCCAGGCGGTGAAGGCTAGCTGTCCCACGCAGGTGGGGCCTGCGGCAGCCCAGGCACCACCAGTCACTGCTCTCAGTGGCTCAGGCACCTGGAAATACCATTCCAGCCCTTTCCCCAGGTTTCAGGAAACTCACCAGGCTGCCTCTGAAATCCCACAACTCAGAACCAGACTGACATTTTATGCAAGACATAATGCTCTATGTGGCAAAAGGTCCAAACCTACCCAGTTCTTCCTACTCTATTGCCCTCTCTCCACCCCTAGGAAAAAAAAAACAAAACCCATAAGGCGTCAACCTTCCAAAAAGCCAAGTGACTGCCTTTCCACAGAGCACACTGGGGACATCCCTCCTTTGTCCCTGCACCCATGGGGCTTTGGAGAGTTTTGCATTTATTAACAGCCTTGTGGGGACAGCTCCACCCTAAGATCTGCCAGTCCTTGAGGCTGGGCCTCACGCATATGCCTCCTTGAGCTGTTAATGGGGGTCTGTTCCTGCTCTCGCCATGGGTTTCTTTTTCTTCCCCAGCACCCAATCCACTGGGGATGTGGAAGAGTCTCGGAAGAAAAAGCTTCCTAATCGGGTCCAGCCATGCCACCAGGCATTAGCTGTGGAACTTTGGTAAAATGGTTTAACTTCTTTGAGCCTGGACTTTTCCCCTCAGGCATAAATTGGAAATAATACCATCTATCATGTGATTTGTAGAAATGAAGTGATATCGTGCATATGAAAATGCCCACACCATGACTAGTACATAGTAGGCACTCAATAAATGTGGGTTTCTATTTTGTGGTGGCTCATGTAGACCCAGGAAGGCTATGGGACCTATAATCTGAACAGACACGTGTGTGTGTTAGGGAAGACATGGGGCTGGACAAAGCAATCCTCGGGCTCCAGCTGGGTTGCCACCCCCATCTCAGCTGTCCACGAGCAACTGGATGGTTCCCAAATGGACAACTTTGAGTGAAGGACAGAACAAACAGGAGACCCCACCCCCTCACCCACAGGCTGGCTGGGCCTGCAACGCCCAGGGCCCACTTTCAGTAAATCACTAATGGTCACAGCAGGACTCAGCAAGTACACATATGGAAGGAGAAGGAGGGAGAGGGGACAAAGATGACCGGGTGGAAAGGAGGGTCAGGAGGGGGCGAAAAGGCAGCTGCTCAGCCCATATACAGACCTTCTCCTTTGGCCTGTTTTCTTTTATAACAGTAATCATTCCACAAACATGACGAGCAGCAAGGACGGAAGAGGGAAGGGAGAGTGAGAAGAAATATAGCATCTGGAGAGATGCTGTTCAGCTGGCCTGCTTCCCATGCCAGCATTTAATGGCTGCAAGCTTGCCACGGCCACTTGGCATCGAACACAGGAAGGTCTTCGATGCATTCCAGCTGGGTTCACACTGTCAGCCGCTCATCCAGGGGGTGTGTTTGGGGGTTGCTAAACCCCAAAGTGCCACGATGCCCAGGCTAGGTATCAAGCAACTAAGTTTACAATGAACATGTGAGTAGCTCTTGTCATCTTTCAGAAACGGCATCCTCTCCTTTGGGCTGCATACAAGGCAGGTGGCTGTGCTGTGTCTAGCGGCTCTGGGCACAAGGCATGCCCGCCACCATCGGAACAGAACATCTGCTAGGCCCCCTCCTCCTCCTCACCCAACCGCACACAACACAGAGCGCATTCCATGTGGCAGCTGGGGTTCAACTCAAGAAACCGCTGGTTGGGAGCCAATTTGGTCCAATAATAAATGACATGGGAACATCTGGAGATGTGGCTGGAGACAACTGGGCTGGGTCCCTCACAGTAGGAACACAAAGATCACATTTGGTCACCACACAAAAACAGATGCTTCAGGGGCCTCCACTGGCCACTGGTAAAGACCTTCCCTCCACCCAGGCCCTCTGGAACTATTTCTGGGACAGAGCTCACCCTCCACCCTACTGCCAGCAACTTCTCACTGAGGCACTGACTCTGCTAAAGCCTGCAGCGGCTCCCCATCAGTTCCAGGCCATACTTGAAGCCTTGAGTGACATGCCCTCTCGTCTCTCCCCATTCTGGAGGAGTGGGCTCTGGTCACACTGGAGAGAGACCTTTTGCAAACTCTTACACATTTACACCCCTTACTGTACCCAGAATGCACCAGGCTCTCCTGCTCTTGCCCCCCATGACTTGGCTTGGCCAAGACCTACACAACTCCAAGACTCAACTCAAGAAAAACCTACACTGCAAGGTACTGCTCCGCCCCCAACACCTCCTCTCTAGGCTGGGTTAGGTGGCCATGTGGCGACTTCCATCAGGGAACATAGGAGACGCTCCTCCTCTATCCCTGTACCTGGAGAGTGGTTGTTCTATAAATACTGGATAGAGAGCGGAGGGAGGGGTTGAAGCGGGGAGGAGGGAAGGAAGGAAGGAAAGAGGGAGGGAAGATGGGAGGAAGGGAGGGAGGGCAGGCACTTAAGATTAAGAGCACATCCCTGCAACACTGACCTGCGTCCATGCTGTGGTTCATCTGGTGGTCACTGGTTTCTCCATCTTCACTCAGGTAGCCAGGGGGTGGGGTTTCTGAGAACCAGAAGGAAAGTGGCTAACTAAATGGCCTCCATGGCATGGAGAAAGACCTTTTGCAAACTCTTACACATTTACACCCCTGTGCCAGTAGCAGGTGCTGGAGGAATTATGGGCCTCAAAGCCAGGACCTAGCTCCTGGATCCTGCTGTCCTCGTGCCTTCCGCCTCCAGGCTCCCCACCTGATCATTACCTCATTACCACCTTTGTTCACACCATCCCAGCTCCCAAGTCTGAAGTGCCTGTTTTTAGAGCCTCTGCCAGGCTAACTTCACCCCACTTCAAGTTCAGGTTTAGGACCACCCCTCCAGGGAGGCTGCTGACTTGCTTCAGCCTTGCCCATCTCTGTCCTCTAAAGGACGACTGCCTCGAACCACACCGTGGGCTCTGCGGCCTACTCCTGTGCAGGTGCCTTGCTGTTTGCTGTCTCTTTAGGGGATGTCCTAGCTTCCCAAGTGGGTTGCAAGACCAGCCCACGTGCTACCTGGCAGTTTCCTGAACTCGGAAAGTCCTGCTGATTCACACATTATTTGCATGTAAATGAGGGGCTTCTAAAAACATCTGCACTGTGTGGCAGTGGAGCCCACTTCTCCGGGGAGAAAAAACTCGAACTGGGCCTCAGCCCCCACCCAGGCTGGGACGGCTCGGCAGGCTGACTTGCAGGCCAGCTCTCTGCTCTCACACAAGCCCGATTCAGAGCACCCCCTGCCTCTGCAGCCCCCACGCTGTCAGGGATCCTGCCTGAACTTCAGCCCTGGCCTCAAGGGCGGTGAGAGGAACACAGCGTCGCTATTTCCGCTTCCAAAATAAATGACTGTGCTGAGGCTGGGCGGAAGGGTCACGCCGCACGCCTCAGTGCCAAGAAAAGCATCATTAGCAAGCAGGGAGCCAAGGCCATGGGTCCTCTCCCTACAGGGATGCGGTTCTGAGTCAGGGGCCAGCACTGTGTGCACAGAGGGGGTGA